TGTGTGTGTGTGTGTGTGTGTAGAGAGAGAGAGAGAGAGAGAGAGAGAGAGAGAAGCCTGGGACAGTACATGGTTTTCAACTTTTGAGGAGGGGAATGCAGTTTAATCCATCCTCTCCTCAATCATGACCCTCGCAGATAACCGCTTTCTATCTGCTAACTCAGAACACAGCCCCTTCATTTTTCTGGAAAATAGAGGATTTCAGAGTGAAGCTGCGCGCTGCTTATTAATAATCACCATCACACTTAGCATCTGTATAGGGGCTTTACATGTTCATACCGCTTTAAAAACACGAATTAATTAATCTTGCCATTTGGTTATAGAGCAGGCAACAAAGAACTGTAAAACATGACTTTGTCCTCTGGTTAAATTTATTTATAAGCAAACTTTTACATATAAAAGCCTTTAATTAAGCAGCTGTCTTTTTGGCCGGGTGCGGGGATGGAGGGGGAATAGATACTTCTGTGATATTTTTATATGTAAAGGCATAATGTTTCCATTAACAACTGATTGGGTCTTTCTAAATATACTAGAACTGCTTAAACTCTGCGGTTGTTTGTTCCTCTTGAGCTGCAGGTTCCCAGGGTAGCTTTTTCTTATGGCATTTGAGAGTCATCCCACTTCATCTCTCACCTGAATCTTGTCATCTCTGCCATCTTGAAGTGATCTGTGAACAATGCAGGTCCCTTGGACAGCCCAAGCTGGTCAATCAGGCAGAACAGACTATGCAAATGGAATGGAAAGGCGAAGCGATGGAGAACACTGGCTCCCATTGTCTTGAGAATTTCAAAGCGAAGCCCAGCTGCAGCAGCGTTGCTGTCTCGGACCTTGGTTGCTACTCTAATGTCATCATTGCAAAACATCAGATTTTGAAAACTATACACTCTGAATGCATGAGCAGCCCTCGGCAAAGATTTAACTTTTCCATAACACGTTTGTGAGTCACAAAAACCTAAGGGAAGAGGTGGGGGAGGAGATTCGAGCACCATTATTTGATAAGATTCATAGTTTCCTCTTATTATTCAATCATATACTATTAGATAACTGTTGTGGATCTGATGTTAAATGTCCTTCCCCTTAGTTTTGTTGCAACGTGCCCCCATTTCCTGGTGCCTCTAGAGTCAAATCAGTTTGTCGGTTCTCTTTAACTTAGTTTATATTGTGCTTTAGCAGTTTCTGAGGAGATCTAACTAGCTTGCTCCAGTCTTGGAAGCTGCCAGTGAAATATTTCTTAACTCTTTGCTTGCAGTTCTTAAAATATGTAGAGCGTTTCGGGGTCAAATAGTTAGACTATGTCTCTGCAAGTAATTAATACAGAAACGTAGTTATGTTTTAATGAAGGCTTTGGCATTTTTGACCAACCAGTTTTTAATTATCTTAAATAGCTGTCCCTATTAAATATACATTAAAGCCCTGTTTAAGATCTTTAGTTTCCAGTGTGAGGACCACAGTTAAATTCCTTAGATGCTACATTAAAATAAAACTTCATCTTAGTAGAGTTTAACGCGGTTGAATTGTTAATGTGTATTTTTTTCAAGGACTAAATCGCTGAACATGTTTCACTTACAATTTCTTTTCCTTTTCTTTTGCCTTTAGATGACTTTTGTGATCACCATGTGGTTAGCTGAGGAAACGCCTCTCTCATACGCCTTCATGTCAGGAACTGCACCTAGGAGTACACGTTTATGTAGCCAATGTTTTTCCCCTCGTTTTCTCAGTTATCTTTCAGGAACTAATGCACATGTATATTGACTATATTACATTATTAAATGGTGGAATGCTCACACATTTTAATGCAGACCAGAGTATGTTTAGTATTCACATGCGAATAGGGAAGAAGTATCATCTTGATAAAACAACTAATCTTCAGTGAAACCTAATCGTATTTTTTGCAGTAGCATATACATTTCAACTGACCTTTTCTGTTCTATACCTTAACTCTTTTACTGTAAAGGAGGTGATGTTTTCATGAACAATACGAGTTCCAGGAAAGGGTTCAGACAGGTCTTAATACTGAAGTTATCTAGGATTAAGGAATTGCTATTAAAAGTCATTAGCCTGTTGAATTTACGTATCGTCGTTTTCAGACTAAAGTGACTGTGGCTCTAAGAAAAAAATAGATGGGATTACCGGAAAGGAAAAAAAACCCAAAAGCAAATGAGATCATTACATTATAACAGTTGTGTCCTTTGATCTTCTGGCTGCAAGCTTTTCAATTAGGCAAAGAGAAACCCGTTTCCAATCTTTAGTACACACAATACAAATTATGGTTTAAAAGGCAACCAGAGAAAAAGTCAACATAAAAGCCCAGTCCCATGAAAATAACCAAATGCGGAAAGGGAGCACACAGCCCTCCACTCCTCTAGCCCATGCCCATGTCACTGATCATGTTTAAGTGGAAATTGTATATGTTTTAAATTCTGCACCGTTTCTCTCAAATAGATTCCCGGGAGGATATTTCCCCAAGTCCTTTTTCTCCACAGTAAAACTGACCACTGAAAATATAAGACGTGCAATATCCGCACCCAGTTTACTTCCGGAAGATGCCCTGGGTATACCTCAGCTCCCGCTGGCCTTAGCTAACCCGAAATGCAGACAACCACAGACAGCCAATGCTGTTTACCGGGGAGGCTCAGAGTCCGGGTTCCAGCTCCAGCAGGGATAACTTAGATATTTTTTTCACATCTTAGTTCTACACGGCTGTTTTTAGCCCGATAGCTCAAGCCAGAGTCAGCTGACCCGGGCCAGCCGCGGGTGTTTAATTGCTGTGTAGAAAGACGTACCCAAGTCCAGCCGCGGGGGTTGTTTTGCAGTGTAGGCATACTCATTAGCCAACAGATAAAGCGATGTTTCCATGGGACCATCATAGGTGCATGGGCCAAATACTCTGCTGGCAAACCAGCGCAGCTCTAACTGGAGCTCTGCCACTTGACCCTAGCAGAGAATTTGGCTTCCTAGTCAACAAGTACGTTGGGCAGAGGGGAAGATTGCAGCTGATAAAGAGGCTCAGCTGTCCCTCCACTCACATGTTGTCTCTTATCTTGCTGGTCAAGACCCCTCGCCCCCCCCCCGACCCCCGACCCCCACCCCAGGAAGGGAACTCCACTGAAAGGCCTGCCCAGGAACCTGGCCAGTCACTATAGTCTTTAGTATTATTTTTTAAAACTGGGCCTTGGCCGGCCACCTTTGGTGATGTGCTGGTTTCTGTTTACACTAGAACCCTGAAGCAGATCGGGAGCCCCAGCGCGAGGAAGAAGCTTAAAGGTGCCGAAAACTTCCGCCTCCCCCGGCTGAGCGGGCTCCCCTTCCAGAGAGCAGCCGGGCTGTCCCTGGGAGCGAACCCCGTGGCGTGGCAATGGCGAGCCTGGATCTGTGTCTTCCCGGGGCTGGTGGGCGGGGGATGGGGATGGAGCGATGCTGGGTCGGGAGAGAACTTAGTCGAACCAGGAGGGTGACAGCTGGGGAGCTGGATAACATTCTCCCTTGTCTCATGCACCAAAGTCCCCCATCAACCCGCTCTCCAAAGCACACTTTCTCTCCAAGCCCAAAGCCTTTCAGAAAGGAGCATTGCCACATCCCTGCGCCACCGCACTCCTGCCCCAGCGCCAGGGGCAGCGCTCTGAGCTGGTTTGATCGGGTCCACATTGGCTTGTACCCTCTTTGTACGCTTGTACACTCTGGAGCATGCGGCCTCTGCTTCCCGCCTATCATGCCACTACATGATGTGACTTTGGCACGGGTGGCTACTGAGTTTCCCAGAGTTCATCCCTTACAGTACCCGGGGTGGTGGTCACATCATTGATAGGACGTCCCAAACCAACTTTAGCTAAACCTGTATCCTTCCCCCCGCCCATCCTCACCCAGAGCGTCTTCTTCATCTGTTGGCTCTGCATCTGCTCCCAAGCTAATATTTAAAGCACATCAGCTGGACTGTTGCAGAACGCAACTTCATCTGCGCTCACAACTTTCCACTTCCTCCCCTTTCTCCCACCCGCAGCACCCCTGGTACATTCAGCCACAGTTATCTCTGCTCGTGCACTGACTGTATTTTTCATGTTTATTATCATCTGAGGCTGTGTAGTGCCATCTGGCACACACACACACATGGGGGACGAAAATCATATAGTCAGTGAATGGAGCATACAGGGGTATGCTTTTTCTTTCTTCCTATGGAGCAGTGTCTGTTTAAAATTATGCAGAGGGGATAAATGAACAATTCACCCTCATGACGAACGATCAGAAATACCAATCATGAAATTAAAAATCACTGTGGAGAAGCGACGCCAAGAATGGACAAGAAAGTGCTTTCCTCTGAAATATTGCTTTGTATTTTCTTCCTTGTATGTTTCCTTTCACCTTATGTCCTAATAAGGAACAGAATTCCTTCAAGATATTATGCTATCTCTGTTCCCTCTGGATCTCTATTGATTTTTCAACTAACCTATTCAATTATGAGGCATATATTTTAAATAAGTGGCACATATTAAACATCACTCCTCATATACACGAGTTCATCACATTATGGATCAGGTTGCAGTCCTTGAGACCTTTCTCAGTTTTACTGCTATTGTACAGTGAGCGCAATAAAAATGTTTCTAATAGGCTCAGTGCAAGCTAGAAGCCAAAGCATAGCCGCCTTATTTCAAAGCTAGTTTTATAACAGAGATATATAATCAAAGCGTCTTTCTTTCATGAGAATGCAAATAGTGTAACATTATCGGAGATGCCTTGTGGAGAAAACTACACAATGTATTGTATTACTTGATTCATTTTCTTTCAATTTTTACTTTAATTCTGCCTAATTACTGTATTGTGATCTAAGTCAGCAATCTTAAATTAACTATCAACTAAACTTTTGAAGAACCCCTACAAGTGCTAGATAATGATGAAATTTAAATTACTACAAGTTATTGTGTAATGTCTACACAGTGGAAAAGCGAACCTGATATTTTCATTTCACTCGCTCACGTCTCATTAGGTTTTTCTTGTTTCATTTTTCAGCCGACAATTCTCTGCCTTTTCTACGATATTACAAATAGAGAAAACATTTGGGGGCATTTTGTTTTCCGCATTGGAGGAAGACGGTGCCAAAAGGAGAATGAAAATATCTCCCATCCCAGCCAGGATTCTGAACTAGGCAGACTTCTTCAGATGCGCAGCTGAATGATACATACATATCCATGTGCATGCACATATACTGTGATAACGCTCTTTTCTTATCCTGTTGAAACAGACTAGTGGATTTCAGGACAACTCATAACAGCTCTGCACATGGATTTGGGTCTGATCTCACACATTTTAACTTTAGGATACTCCTGGTTTAGGACCTAATCCAATGCCCATTGAAGTCAATAGAAAGATTACTTCCATGAGTTTTGGATCAGGTCTTTACTCCAGTGTCATTTAGATCAGAATCCCATCTCTTCTTCTCTCTATATTTATTCTCCCATGAACTCTGATTAGTTATGGAACAAATTAGAAATGCTAAATTAGAAAAACAAGGTCGAGTTTAATTTATTTATAGCAAATAATGCTTGAAATGTTTAATATAATCAGGGGTTGATTGCAACAATAAAAACTGTAATTTGCTATATGTTTCTGATTACCTCCGGTTCTTTTAGGGTGCAATGGGTTTTATTTTTACGTGTGTATGCTCGTTGCTTTATTTTTTGGCTTCATTGGGGTTTTGTGTAACTAACAAGTGAACGAAGAATCTATTGTCAAATACAATGTATGACAAATTCATTGCAACAAGTCAAATCATTTAAATAATGGGTTTTCAATAAATGCCAAGAGCGCAATCCCACACCTTCCTTGATCGAAGCTGCTATGTAACTTGTAAGAAAACGATCAAGGGAGACTTTTTATGCAGTAATCTATGGTGCCTGTTACAGTTGTTAAGCACTTCATTAAAAATTCAGCAAGTCTTACCAAAGGGGGGTCATAAACAACCGCCATTAAAAACTCAAATCTCTTTCGTCTTTGTACGGTGACGTGTATAGAAAAATATGTTTATTTTTTTGTGATGACTCATTAGCTCTAATTAAACTTTACTTTACATGTGGAAGCTAAAATGAAAAGCAAAAGGAACGCCGCTGTTTACTGTCAGATGTTGCTGTTCTACTTTGGAACCAAGAGAACAGCTTCGAACACCACCAGTAAAAGAGATCTAAAAGAGAAGGCACGCGCATGATACTGCAGTGGTAAAATAAAACCCTTATTTGCTGTAAGTGTTGACCGATAACAAAGCTGACAATCTCCACCTCTGTTTATTTCATACTGTAGGGCACAAGTTCAATTACTGCCAAGTCTTGTAGTAAGGGTCCTAGTGTACAAAGAATACAAAGGTTCTACATTTTCAAATATTCAGAGTGGAGGTTCTCTGGATAAATAATCGAAGATGTTCTACATTTGGTCAATGATCAGAGTGATAGTTCCACATGTTGAAATTATCTTGTGCCAGCTACATTGATTGAAAAAGCACTACAGACAAAAATGGTCTTATTACAAGATGTTTCAAAAGTAGATAAGAGTGGAAAGATACCCTATCGTAAATGAGTGACCTTATCTAGATTTTAATATGGTGGTAAGTAAATTATAAATGGCTGGCAAGTGAAACAACTCTTATTATAAACCCTAAGTCCTGGGAAAGTTTTCAATATTTCAAATGGCTGGAGATGTTATTTCATAACAAATGCTTTCAATATAGGACTCAATTTTTCCTATTTATTTCTCTTGTCCTGTCCTTTACATGGCCCCAGGAATAAGTAAGCCTGGATTTATTGCAAACTTTGTTACTGTTTTACTGTGATTGTTTGGATCATCCCAGGACAAATGTGATGGCTTAAACTAATGACTGAGCATCCATTGTGTTAGTGCTGTTTCCTGGTTATCTATTTATTATTTATTTCCTGCTTGTCCTATTGTTTCTTTCTTTGTGAAGAGTCCTGTTAGCTGTGATAAAATTCCATATAACATGGCTGACACGCCACGGGTTGGTTAAAAAGGGTAAACTGAATGATAACAGAAAGAACATATAAAGAATCCATCACAGCAGTCAGTAGGACAATACCATTTATTTTCACTAGACACCTCTTCACTTCTGGATTAGTCACTTCACAAATGAGCAGATGACACATAACTCACGTGAGTGGGGACTCAGTTGTTTAGGTCCTTTCGTCACCAGTGTAAATGAACTGCCAGTGCACTCACCATTATATAAGCTCTTCATGTTTATGGCGCCACCCTGTATTTCTTGCACATTCAGTACTCACTAGGAGTTTGGAGTGTGTAAGTAATTCAGGAGAAGGCATCAATCCAGGGAGTCATATACTTGATTGATATTATTTTGAAATGATTACAATGGATATGAACAAAGACACTGACATAGCTAGGTGGTCAAAGCTAGGAGGCCAGAGGTACACTGAAATGGTTTTAAAAGGCAGTCTTTCTGTCAGCACACAGGCTAATGCATGCCAAAATGCTTTTTCTCCTTCTGTGCTAGACATCCCTGGAGTTTGTCTCCAGTGCTCATGTTAGCAAGATTTCCAGTTGAAGGATCAGATTCCCTCTCAGTACTAAGTGAAACTGACAGCATGAAATCTGAAAATTCCTGATAGTTTTAATAAGGAAAAGGGGAGTTTGTAAGGATATTACAGTGACTCTAGGAGCTACAGAATGGGATCCAAGAGTCCAAGACTCTAGCTCAGGGGTGGCCAACCTGTGGCTCTGGAGCCACATGCGGCTCTTCAGAGGTTAATATGCAGCTCCTTGTATAGGCACCGACTCTGGGGCTGGAGCTACAGGCACCAACTTTCCAATGTGTCAGGGGGTGCTCACTGCTCAACCCCTGGCTCTGCCACAGGCCCTGCCCCCACTCCACCCCTTCCCATCCCCTCCCCTGAGTTTGCCATGCCCTCGCTCCTCTCCTCCTCCCCCCGAGCCTCCTGCACGCCACGAAACAGATGACCAGGAGGTGGGGGAG